ACGCGCTCGTCCCCAGAAACGTCGGAAGAGCCGAGCTCCGGCTCGTACTCGAGTCTTAGGCTTCCCCGACAGAGTCGTGCAGACCTCCAGCCCCAGGATCCAGGATCCAGTGCGATCAGCGCACGGAGGAGGAGGAGGAGGAGGAGGAGGAGGAGGAGGAGGAGGAGGAGGAGGAGGAGGAGGAGGAGGAGGAGGAGGAGGCGGAGGCGGAGGCGGAGGCGGAGGAGGAGGCGGAGGAGGCGGAGGAGGAGGAGGAGGCCCCCCTGCCCCCCCGCGGGCAGGCCACAACCGTCGGGGGCTGGGGGGGCCCCGCGCCCGCCGCGCCGCGCCTTCGGACCCGCCGTCTGTCTTTCCTGGCCGAGCTTCCGACTGAGACTCGCGTCGGGCACGCGCCCTGGACGGCGCGAAAGAATGGGGTGGAGATCCCCCCAAACATAATCGCGCCGTGCAAAAGTCACGACGGGAGGTTTTTAGACGTTTTCGGCCTCGGGGGCCCTCGCCGGGCCTCGGGACCATCAAAAACCGACTCAGGATGAAAAACCAGTCCTGGGGAAAGGGTCGGGACTTCCAGGGACCCCTTTTTGAAAAAATCAGGAGGTCGCAATTTTCCAATTGCGTTGCAAGTCTTGCAACCTGAGATCCTGGCGTTGCAACTTTTTCACACCAAGCGATTTCGCCTTTTCCTCGGGCCCCGGGACCCTCACAGGCCGATCCGGCTCGAAAAATTGCAAAGAAAGATTGGGTCTAGGTCTCAGGGGCGTTCTTTTACAATGTTACATTCCTTTCACTACGTCGGATCTCAGGGAATCACGGATCAGCAAATCAGCTCATGTAGCTGGATGTCCCAGCACCAGTGTATTCAGGAAAGTGCCCGGGTGGCGGGACCGAAGCCAGCTGCACGCAGCAGACTTCGCACCCTCCCACTGTCCCAATCCAGAGGCCTCCCACGGTGGGTCCGAGTAGATGGGGTCGGAGTACACCTCTGCATCGCCGATCAATCTCCAATACATCGCCGATGCATCGGCGACGTCGGTGCATCGGTGCCGTCGGTGCGGAGAAAACCAGGATCAGCATCGAGCCGCATGGCCAATGCATCGGCGATTCGGCGCGATCCTTCGACCCCATGGGCTCTGGCCCCACCTGGGAGGCCTGGGCCCCAGACCCCCAGCGGAAGTGGAAGTGGAAGTGGAAGTGGAGGGCGTGTCGGTCGAGAAGACCTGCCCTCGCCCTCCCAGCCGGGCAAGGATCGAACCCCCTACCCCGCCCCCCAGCCGAGGCCTGGGGACGGAGAGGGCTTGGGGGGGAGGGACAGGGGGAGGGAAACACTCGATGGCGAAAGATCACGTAACAGGAGCGCCCGCACGTCCGAAGGCCCACACTGCTCCCGGAACTTCAGCATACATGGACGTGGCTATCGCGAAGTGCGCGTGCGCACACACACACACACACACACACACACACACAACGAGCAACACCACACACACACACACACACACACACACACACACACACACACACACACACACACACACACACACACACACACACACACACACACACACACACACACACACACACACACACACACACACACACACACACACACACACACACACACACACACACACACACAACGTGCAACACCGATACACACACACACACACCACCACGCGCGCACGCAAGAATCCTGCCACTAGGTTGCCCCCGCCGTGCTCGCCGAGGTATGGTCGGCGGACCAGAACGCGTGATACGACAGCTGCCCCACCTTCCCGCCCACGCAGTGGCCTTGCCCGTCAAACAGACAGATGATTTCCCGACGTACGAGCACGGCCTCATGAGGCAACGGGTTCAAGACCCCGCGTCGTCAGGGTTCAAGACCCCCGCCCACGAGGAACGGTGCAAGACCGAACCTCAGCGCCAAGGGCGGCCTTACGGCGACGACGGTCCTCACTCGGCTAGCCGGTACGTCCCCAGGACGGACACCAGGGACAGGATACACAGAACGGCTGGTCGGACGACTACAAGGTTGAACTGGTGGACAGGCACGAAGTCAACGTGGCCGTAGCCTCGGGAGACATCGGGTTCAAGACCCCGCGTCGCCAGGGTTCAAGACCCCCGCCCAAGGAGGAACGGTGCAAGACCGAACCCCAGCGCCCAGGGCGGTCTTTCGACGACGACGGGCCTCCCTCGGCTATGCCCTACACCCGCATGGTCATCAACAGCGACGGCGACGGGGGGCCAACTACTGAGGCCCGATGGCATTGCCACCACCGACCTGGCCGCCATCCCAGCGACCGACCCCCGACCTACTGCCGACGGACACGCTTCGGAGCCGGTCCGGCCGCCCGACCTGCGGGGCGTCGGAGAACTGGCCCCTTTGCGCCGGGTGCTGCCGCTGGCCTGCGTAGGGCCGCAGGCGCAGCCCCCGGAACCGCCGGGCCCCCCGGCAACGCCTGCATCCCCCCCCCTCCTGGGGGTCCGCCCGCAGCAGGGGCCGCCGCTGGCGCATGGATCACCGGGCCTGCCGGCTGAAGGGTTGCTGCTGCTGCTGCCCCCGGCGCCGCGGCCCCTTGACAAAACTTCTCATGGTGGACGTCGGGTCTTCAAGCCATCACGACGTGTGTGTCTGGCAATGGCGTGAGGTGTTTCCCTCCCTGCCTCCTCGCCCAACCCTGCCCACTCCATCTCCACGAGCGCCAAACCCTGCAGAGGTAGGAGGTGCCCAAGACGCAGCGCCCCGGAAGGACACCTTAAGGATCGAGAGGCGCACCACACGCACGCGCGCCTTAGCGCCACGCCTACTCCCGTTGATCAGGCGGGAGCAGGGCTTACGCTGCACGGCGCGCAGGGGAAGGCCCCGAGGGACCTAACCGCCCCTGCACGCCGAGGCAGCGAGTCGCGCCCACCCGCCCCCAGCGGAACATGGGCCTAAACGACTGCGTGGGACAGCAAGTGAGGTAGGTGATCCACATGCCCAACACGCAACCACGCTGTCATGAACGCGGGTGCAACGGGGACGACGTGAGGGGGCTGGGCCGGGGCGAACCCAGCCACCCCCAGCGCCCTGGGTTAGCCGCCTCAGGCGGGGGATTGGCGCACCACGAGCGAGGCGCCATACCACAATCAGCCCCGGCCGCCCGAGACGTTGCCCTCGGCCCAGCCAGGAGGCTTGGGCGCTAACGGGCCTGACGTAACTACGACGCGAACACCACGCCGGAATGCTCCCGTCCGACTCGGCGGTCTGTGGACGCGCCGTCGTAGCTGGCTAGGCTACGCACGGCACCCCGGCCCCGGGAGCGGGGCGTAGGCCGGTGAGGACTACGGTCGCGCCCCCCTCTGTAGGACACGTCACAATCGCGATGCCGACGACTGGGTAGCGCCTAGAGGCCCCGGGTGGGTCCTGGTGTTCCGCGCCCAGACAAGAGGCGCCGTAGAAGTCACCATCATCCATCGCACAGCATCAACAGCCACAGACACACCCCGACTCTCCCTCCCCTCTCTCCCATACCAGCTTGGCTCCTTGTAGCCCGGTCTCGGACTCAGCCTCTCGTCGGAAGTCTCCCGCGGGCAGGGTGGCGCTGCGAGCACGGATCAGGCGGCCAGGACACACGGGGAGCCTCGAGCGGTGGTCTCTGTGAGAGCGGCGGGGTGGCGCTGCGAGCACGGATGAGGCGGCCAGGACACACGGGGAGCCTCGAGCGGTGGTCTCTGTGAGAGCGGCACGGAGCTAGGGGTCGGCGCACGGGGCCCAGAGCTCTCGACCACAAACAAAGACCCCCTCCCCCTCTCTCCTGCCCCCCTCCCCGCACACACCCGCGCACACACACACACACATCCACACTCCATCCACACACACACACACATCATCCAACATCGTGCGGCTGGCACTGGTCGGAGTGGCCGTAGGACGGTCCTGAATGCGAGCAAAAGATCCTGGGAATCGCAAGGCAGCATGCCCCCTCGGAGGACGTGTTAGCCAGCCCCAGGGGAGAGAGAGAGAGAGGGAGGGAGAGGGAGGAAGAGGGGGGGGGGGCGGAAGAGGGAAAGGGGGGAGAGGAGGGGGGGGAGGGGGAGAGAGAGGGAGGGGGAGCGGGAAGGGGGAGGGGGAGGGGTGGCCACTACGTCCTCCCCCCAAACCCTGATCCTGCATATGTCGTAGTCCCGCCGTGCCGATGTCGACCCCCAGAGGTCTCGACCCCCCCCTGGAGCGGTGTTTCATCCCGCGTCGTTGCTTGACGGTCCCATGGGGCCCGGCGAAGGCCCCTGGGGGCCGAACATAGCAGAAGACCTCCCGTCGAGACTTCGTCATAGCCCAGGGGTGGCCTGGGACAACATCCCCCCCCCTGTCAGGAGAGATCGATAAGCCGGATCGGCGGTCGAAATAAGTCGGATCGGCGGACATCGGCAGCCGGGTCGGGCAACGTCGAACCGGCGGAAAGCGGCAGGCCAACATGCGTCCAATACGAGTTCGGAGCCCAGATCGGAATCCGCAATCGGCTCGACCCGGAACCGGAATCCACCGAAGTCGAACCGCACCGAAGCGGAACCGAAGCGAGCCCCCCCTGTCGCCCGACCCGAGCCGCACCCGACGGCGCGGGCAAGGAGGCGGCCACGTGCGCCAGGCCTGCGCGGTCGGCCCCGCGGCGGAGGCGTGCCCCCGGGGGCCTCTGGCGCCCGCCGCCTCTCTTGTGGCCGCGCGCGGGCTCGAGGGCGCGCCCGAGGCACGCGAGCCGGCCGCGGCGCTGTTTGCCGCACCCCGTGGGTCGCGGTGCTCGAGCCCGTCGGAGAGACCGGGCTCGCGGCTGCCGCGCCGCTCGGCGGCGGAGCCCCGGGCAGGCCGCAGGCCCCACGAGCTGGAATTCGAGGCACGGCCGGCCCGCGTGAGCAACTGGATCCCCAGGTCTGCATCTGGAGCGGCGCAGACACTTTGGTCTGGACTGGGCGATTGACACAGGCCTGGAGGTAGCCTTGCATGCAAGCGCGAGGGGGAGCAGGAGTGAATGAGCATAGGGATGACGAGGACTGGGAGCAGGGGAATGAAAGGGGAGGCAGAGGTACACTTACTTCAGAAGAGAGGCAAACCCAAGGGGGGCCCTTCTTTCAGCGTCTCTCGGCGGGGAGCGAAGGGGGGAAGTGAGAAGGAGAAGCGAGGGGGGGAAGTTCCGGGTTCGAGGTTCGAGGTTTTCGGACGTCTTCGTCGGCTCTCGACGGTTTTGCAGCCTCGGGATGCGTTCCTGCGGCTGCGCCTCGCCGAAGGCGCTCCAAAGTCGTCCCGGACGGCCGCCGGAGACCCAAGCTATGACCCAACAACCAAATTCGGCGGCGCGGACGGGGGGAAGTCAGAAGGAGAAGGCCTTCTCAGAAGGCGGCGGGACTTCTCAGAAGCTCTCGCGCCTTCTGAAAGGCTTTTTGTGTCTTCCGGGAGGGCTTAGAGAACTTCTCAGAAGGCTGGAGGACTTCCTAGCATTCTGAGGAGGCCTTCTCCTTCTCACTTCCCCCCCTCTCTCGCCACCGAGTCTTGACTGCAGGCCTATAGCTGAGCCGACGAAGCCCAAGGAATTACACGACATCGCGAAGCATCGCGGCTGGAGCCAGACCCCTCCCGCTCTGCAGCAATTCTGGAGCCGGATCGACCTGTTATGACCCCGGGACCCGAACCTGAGCGCAAAACGCCCGGCGTGAAAGAATTGCGACGCCTGGATCTCAGGGCTCTGCCGTGTCCCCAGGGGCTCCGCGCGATCACCCCGAGCAGCGCCCTCCCGGACGCGCCCTTGATGTCGAAGGTGCCAGCCCGGGCCAACTGCGGGGGGCGTTCGGCCGCGTCTCCGCGGGTGCGGCCGCGAATGACTTCGCCGCCGCCGCTGCCACCGCCGCCGCCACCGCCGCCGCCGCCGCCGTCGACGCCGCCGCCGTCGTCGACGCCGTCTCCGTCGCCGCCGCCGTGTGAACCCCGTCGCCGTCGTCGTCGCCGCCGCAGACGCCGCCGTTCAACGGGGTGCCCGGCGAGAAGGAGTAGAGTCCGAGATGACCCAAGGTGGCTCCGAGATGGCCCCAGAGAGTTGACGTTGCCTCCAAGATGGCGCACGGTGGCCCAAATTGGCCTCAGGCTTGGCCCCACGAGGCTCCATAACGGGTCCAAGACGACTGCATGTGGCCATGGAACCTCCAAGGATGCGGACAAAATCTCAAGATCATCAAAGCAGTCTTGAGTGGGCGATCGGGGGTCGATGCGTCCCACCCGAGCCCATCCCCCCCTGCGTAGCGTTGCCCCTGATCTTCGGCATGGGAGCCAGCAGCGTAAAACCGGGACCATATTCAGCAGCGTCTGCTGCCCATGCGCCCCAAGACATCGTCACCTCGCCTGTGGTGGCCAGTGACGCCCTCGGAATCAGCGGCTATTTCTCCCATGTGGCTAAGGACCCTCCAATCTGCGACCTCCCTCCACCAGCTGGCGACAACTCGCGGCAATGCTGGCAGTCCGCGGCAGTGCTGGCAGTTCGTGGCAGCTCGTGGCAGCGCGCGGCAGTGCCGAGCAGCCCCGCTGCCGAGGGCCCCACAGAGTCCCTTCTGCACTCGGTGAGCACCCTGGCGCTGCACTCCCCCGCGGGGTGGGCATTGCTACGGTCGGGGACTTCGGCCTGTCGCTCCGCTCCGCGGAGCGGGAGGCTGGGAAGAGCTCGGGACGTTGACACTTGGGACTGGGAGGTGGTGGCGAATCGCGCCGATGCGTGGTGGGCCAGAACCGGCGGCGCGACACGTTGAGCACAAATTCCGGACCGTGTACTGTACTCCCGCCAACATCCGCCGGCAAAGAAGGTCACTGTTTCCTTCCGCCGGTCTTCTAGGTCGCCTGACTTGGCGCACCGCGCCCCGCTGTGCTCGACGAGCGGTCATCTGCGTGCCCTCGCGCCCTCGCGTCGCCCCCTGGAGAGGGGCAGCGACGCAACCCAAGCCTTGAATCGGGCATGTCCCCTTACAGGCCGATTGTCGACGAAAGATGAAACATACCCCCAAAAATATTCATAATATATCCAACACTAATCAACACATCGTCCCCAGACTATCTTTTAGCTATGTTTGAATATTCCTCTTGTAGAGGGACAGGCCCGACTTGACCCATGCCGCGATGCGCGAAGCGCGCTCCTCTTCGCGCCCCTGTGGGTGACCTGGGCTTCCGTCGAACTTCTGCTGGCTCCCGCCAGGGGATGGCCCGGCACACCCTCGGCTCCCTAGAGACGGTGACGGGCCAATTGTCCACCACCCCTGCCATAGGTAGGACGGGGGGAGACGGGAGAATGGGGAAGTTCTCCACCTCCTCCTCGTCCTGCTGCTCCTCTTCCTCCTCCTCCTCCTCCTCTTCCTCCTCCTCCTCCTCCTCCCTCTCCTGCCTATGGCAGTGGTGGTGGAAAATCAACCCATCAGACGAGGCGCTTTTTCTGAACCGTCAACACGGGCATCGTCGGTGGCGGTGCATGCGGCGGCCGAGCGGCTGAGAGACGTTGCCAGGCTCGCCGCCAAGGAGCACGCGGCCGAGTGAAGTCACCACGGGGCTGGCTGCGGCGACCTCCCCCTGATGGCTACACGCAGGAGCGACCTTGGGTAAGAGTGACCTTCGTGCGCAACTTTTTGAAGGCCGCGGGGGGACCTAACACGAGCGCACAAGACGCTACTATCGTACCGCACTCGGCGATCGGGGGGCCCCAGTGGGCACGCACCAAAGGTCACTCCGGCGAAGGGTCACTCTTACGTCTGGTCGACCCTGGCGCCTCCTTCCAATCTTAGGAGGCAACTCCTGGGAAGTTTCCGTAAGAACGATTCAGGGCTCCAAAACCCGATCGCCGATCGAGCGCCATCGAGCCGGATCAGCCTGGATCCAACGGGACTCTGCCGGATGAGGCGGCGTGTCGACCACGGATCTACCAGCGCCGACGCTGAATTCCCTCTCCCAGGAGTTGCAGCCCAGCCAATCCCCCCCTAAGCCCCTCCGAGCGGGAAAAGAGCGCTCCCACCAGCAAGCGTTTGGGCGGGACAGCGCCCTCTGGGCCGCAAGGAGCGCCTGAAGCGGCTCGCAAACCCAGACCCTTGACTTCGTGATTTTGTTCGCAACGTCGACCCCCCGAGGTCTGGACCTCTTTCCCAGGACCGGTATTTCATCCTGAGGCGTTTTTTGACGCTCCCGAGGCCCAGTAAGTGCCCCCGGAGGCCGAAAATAGAGAAAAACCTCACGTCGTGATTTTTTCACGACGCGAAGGGGTCTGGGAATGCGTCGGACGCCTCCCCAAGCTCCCGTGCAGGATGGCCTGGGAAGGCCTGCCGACCGCACTGCATGCGAATGCTCTTATTCTTCAGCGCAGGCACCGAAGGACAGGCGAGGGCAGCACCGGAAAGGGCGGAGGAGGGACGAGGTGCGAGGCGGGGGTGTATCCATATCCACCGCCTGGGGACCGACGTCCTGGCGCCCCAGCGGGCGGCGGATACGGATATACGTCGGCCCCTGGGGGCCCGAACATATCTGTATCCGCCGCCGGCCGAGGTCCCCGCAAATTGATCCTCCAGGCGATGGTAATGTATAAATTCCCGCCTCGGACGAGGGGCAGTGCGACCATGGGCATAGATCACAGCGCCTCGGAAGCTCGCAAGCCAGGCCCCCCTGAGCACCACCGGCGCTGCGGGCGAGCCTTGCGAGGTGGCCGCGCTTGCAGACGGGCAAAGACATCGTGTCCAGATGAAGCGGACCGGGTGCAGCACAGGTCGGCGAGCGGTGTCACAACGGCGACGTCACGCTACAGGGCAGCCTGCGTTGAGAAGGGCGAGAGAGAGAGAGAGGGAGATTGACCCCGAGGCGAGAGGGAGATAAACATGGTACGACAATTGTGACAAGGAGCCGAAGTCAATTGCACCACTCTTCTGTGCCCTCACGCTCACAGGCTGGGACACCGTCCGTTCCCGCACTCCTGGCCTTAGCGCGGTAACAGCGGAGGTTGCCGCTTGTTCCCTGGGGCCCTACAAGCCACAGAAGGCTGGTGAAGAGCCCCATGGCAAAGAGGAACGAGTACATGATCGTGACACAAATCAGCGTTGCCATCTTGTAGAAAAATGTAAAATAACAGAAGAACATGACGAGCCCCGAGCCAGCCGTCGTCAGCGCGCCAGCAAATATAGTGGAGCCCATGTTCCGCACCGCGAAGGTGGCTCGCGCATCTCTGGTCTGGTGCCCCTGCTCTGAAGCTTCACAATAAATGTGCGCGAGGTGAACCACGTAGTCCACCGAGTAGCCGATAACGATGACACCTGCAATTGCTTCGCCGACACCAAGATCCCAACCCATGGCGCTCTTGCAGAAGCCCAGGACGCATGCCACGATACCAGCCACGCAGAACACTGCGTACATGGAAACGATGAAGTTACGAGTTGAAGCCAGCAACACGAGGAACGCAAGTGGGAACGCGATGGAGATGCCAGTGAGCAAGCCCATCACAAGCTCTTCAGATAGGTCATAAACGGCAAACACACCGCCAGCGTTGAAACTCATGCTCTTTAGCCCACTGGGCGCAGCGCCCTGCCTCCCTTGAACGAACTCCTGGATCATGTCACGGACATCTACGCCCACCGAGTGCGGCGTAACGAGAGCCAAACGCGACCGCAACTTGACGGAAACGTACTTCAGCTGCCCGTCAATGAACCCCACGTCGTACGCGTACTCAGCTGGGCACACCTGTAAGACAAAGCCAGGACGAGGATTAGATCGGGTGAGGATAAATCGAGAATCTCTGAGATCCGACGGCTCTGGATGATGTCTCGAGCGCCAAGGCCTTCTGAGAGCGCTCTGGAGCACTCTGACAACGTTCTGGAACGCTCTGGAACAGATTTACCCACAGACATGCGACGTCCTGATCTTTTTCATACGGGGTCCCTGGAAGTCCCGACCCTTTCCCCAGGACCGGTTTTGCGTCCTGAGTCGTTTTTTGACGGTCCCGAGTCTCGGCGAGGGCCCCCCGAAGCCAAAAACTGTCAAACACGTCCCGTCCTGATTTCCTTTTAGTCACGCGATCGCGTCTGAGGATCTCTCCTCGTCCTGGCCCCGTCCGAGCCTTCGAGGAATACTGCGACGACGGGTCCGCCTGCACGAACTGCCGGAGCTCTGCCACGAAGGCGCTGCCCGTGGGCAGGGCCTCGCTCGGCGGCCTGCCGAGCACGTCCACGCGGTAGTGCTGCAGGTCCTCCAGACGAGCGCGCCCCACCACTCGCAAAGTAGCTGCTCGCAGATGGCCTGGATCCGCCGCAGGGGATCTACGATATATCTATGTATACACACGATATATATATATATATATATATATATATATGTACACCTATACGACCACCCTACGGGTGATAAGGAGGTTGGGGGGGTGGAGGGGCCGAGCAATGGGCAACAGTGGTGATTGTTCTCCTGACGATGCCAGTGGAGTTTTTTTTGTCGGAGGCCTGCTGAAGCCCCTCTTGTCGCCACTGACTAAATCGCTTCAAATATGGCTCAACGGCTGCCCTTCGGCGGTCACTATCGACGTCATCATCATCATCATCATCATCATCATCATCATCATCATCATCATCATCATCATCATCATCATCATCATCATCATCATCATCATCATCATCATCATCATCAACACCAACATCATCATCATCATCATCGCCATCATCAACATCATCTCATCATCATCATTACCATCATCATCATAATCATCATCATAATCATCATCAACATCATCATCGGGACACCGACGGGACACCGACGGGACACCGGCGGGACACCGGCGGGACACCGCGCGCCACCGGCCGCCCGGAGGAGAATCATTTGGTCCGGCCGCACCTCAGCCACAGGAGACTTTCCTCTCGCCCGCCCACGCAGCTTCGCCTCGCCTGCACGGCACGCACGAACACGAAACCGAAATCGATTTCCCGGTAGGGGGGCTCTCCGTTCCACTTCGATCTCACCCCCCAACCTCCGATATATATATATATATATATATATATATATAAATATATATATGTATAAATGTACACACCTATATAGATGGATATACTATACCAAAGCAGACGCATGGTTTCTGTCGGTCGTGTGCGAGTAGGCACACTCTGCGAGTCGCGAAACGCTCTGGGTGATCCTCGAGGAAGCAGGAGTACGCCTTGGTGCCGGAGCTCATCATCAGGGTGTTCCCGTAGCCCTGGCAGCCGTCCAGCTCGCACCGGAGGGCCTGCATCTCTGCGCAGACGCCGAGGATCTCGGCCTGCGCCTCGGCAGTGGTGATGTCGAACCCAGGGTCGAATCTGGCTCTCGGGGGGTTCTTGCTCGGCCTGTACGGGTCAAAGCTGGTCGTGTCTGCTCCCTCGATGCCCCACGTGAACGTGATGACGGAGTACTTCTCGAAGTCGGCCTCGTAGAAGTGATTGGACCAGAACTCTGAGATGCCCAGGAGCATGTGGTTCTGCGGGACCCAGACCTCCTCCTGCGTCGGCGGCGTCAGCTGCAGGGTGAAATAGACGCCTTGGGCTGTGGTTGCGAGCATTGTTGCGACAACGCTCAGGGCGCAGACGCGCACGCCGCGAAACTGCCTGCGCATCGCGGGGATGTAGAGCCTCTCCAAAAACTGGTCGATGCCCCCGTGCAGTCCAGTCTGGGCCCCTGCGCGAGTCTGGCAGTCTGCCCCCTTACCAGCCGGGAGCTCCTCTGGACGCACCGTGGGCCAGGGGCAGCAGCATCTCTTGCCCTCGAAACGCTTGTGATATATGATCAAGGCCGACGGCGTGAAAAGCATCGTGAAAACAAAATTCAAGATGATGCAGACCGCCGCGTAGTAGCCGCATGTCCTCATGGGCATTATCCCAGACACCGACTGAGAGAGGAATGCCACAGTGGTGGTGAAGGACGTGCTGAATATGGCCTGGCCGCTGCGAACGAGGGTGAGCTGCAGCAGCTTCGCGAGCTCCAAGTCGCCGAAAGAGCCGCCGTCCTTCGCGGGGAGCTCGCTCGACAAGTGGCGGAACGAGTCCACGAGCACGAACACGTCGTCCGCTCCGATGCCGAGGACCAGGTAAACGACCAGCATGTGAAGGAAATCGAAGAAGTCGATCATGAGCACGCGGCGGTACAATAGGGCACCCACCGGCAGCGACAAAATGATCTGGTACATGGTCACACAGGCCAGGAAGCCCGAGTTGACGTGCAGATAGACGATCAAAAACACGATCGCCACCGCGCTGAATGCTAGCATGAAATCGCCCATTATCATGCGGTTGTCCTCGTCAGACTCGTACGCGAGCCTCACTCTCAGCGGTCCAGACGGCTGGAATCGGTCATCCTCGGCCTGCAGTGCCGAGCGGAGGAAGCCGTACGAGAGTCCAAGATCCTTTAGGATAACGTCCTCGGTGATGTACACCCTGTGAGCTTTCAAGTCCATGCCCTGGGGACCTCTGATCTCCATGGAGGTACGGCTGTAGGCGCTCGTGCCGGTGCTGGCAAATGAGGGGTGGACAAACCTCGCGTACTGTGAGGCCGCCCCGTTCGCGGCCACATCAAGATACATCGCCGCCAGCTTCGTGCTGACCACGCCCTGGTCCAACTCGGCGCAGCTCGCGTACCCTGCCTGGCCCTGGTAGAACAGGCGCGCTGCGGAGTCGCTCACGGCCCAGGTGAGGGGCTGGCCAACAACCAGGGCCTCCAGGCGGCACATCTCCTGCAAGCGCGCGGGGGTGAACACGTTACCGGATCCTTCCGCGTCGCTCTTGTATCCGCAACCGTGCCTTCAGCACGTAGTGGAGTGCCTCAGCCTCGCCAGCAGGCCCCAGGGGCCCCCCCCGGAAGCTCCAGGACGCCCCCAAGAGGCCAAACTCAGGCCCCAGGAGGCCCCCAAGAGGCCCCGAGAGGCCACAAGACTTCCCCCAAACCGCCTCCGAGAGGCCTCCCGAGAGATCCCCACAGGCACCCAGGAGGCCTCTGACCTGCAGCCTGGGCGCAGAGGCGGGATGGGACGACGGCCACTGGACAAGAACGTGAGCGTCCACCACTCGCCGTCCCACTTGTGCTGCACCAGGCCTCCGTTCTGTGCGTCGAGAGGCGGGCTGTCGTTGCTGTTGTTCTCGAGGCGCCTGTAGTCCCCCGGCTCCCCAAGAGCCTGCCGCTTTGCGTGCGTCCAGGCCTTGAAGGTCATGGTGCGCTCGGCGTCCATTATTAGCCAAGCTTCTGGCTCGTCGACCAGGGCCATCGCACCTGAAGCGATGGACATGGCGGAAAGCAGGAGCATGACGACAGCGCAGGAGCAGCAGAATGTGTGCGGGAACTTTACCACGACGCGTGCATATAATCTCACGCAACGGCCGCGGCAACCTTCTGCGACCTCCACTTCGCTGTCGTGTCCGTCCATGGCCCAGTTCGGTTGCGAACAAGAGCTGAAAACAAATAGCGCCAGGGCGCTCGGACTAATTGGCCAAAGGCAAACGACAATATGACCCGATCCAGCATGGTTACGTTCGCGTAATGAGATTGCCAGACAGCCCTCCATCGCCACCTCCCATGGGGAAACCAAAAGGTACCAATACCGCTACTCCTCAGACCTCTCCCGGGGTGCGTTCTGACCATCATTGCGGAGCGAATCCAGCGGTGGCGACGAGGGCCTCCCAGGAGGCCCAAACAGGGGAAAGGGAAGGATAGAGGTATAGGTACCTTTTCCTCATCTGATCCCGTGGCCCTGTGGTTGATGACCCCCGCTGGTCGAGCAAGAACGTGACCTCCATGCGGCAGACTTCCCCTACCAAGGTTAGCAGCTCGTGACCCCCTTCGTGTTCACGAGCCTCTTCGCCTCCTTGCACCGGAAGCCCATGCCAAGAAACACCCTGCTTGCCTCCAGGGTGCCCTGGGTTTCTTGGGTTTCGATGGTTTTGCTACGAAAAGCGTGACGTCCCCACGCCAAACATCGATGGACGTCCTGGGGTTCCAGGGTTGGGTTTCTTGTGGAAGGTTTCTTGTGGTCGAGCCCCTACTGTACCGCTCATCCCTTGTCTGCCATTCATCCTCCTCATCCTGTGGTTCCTAACTTCTCCTCGTGGAGGACATGGATTTCCCTAGCTCACGGTCAGTGAATCGGCTTGTGACGCCCAGTTGTGTGCGTCAGCGGTGTCAGCACATCGTGATCCCCCCCTGCGGCTATAGCCTCCTGTCCGCGGCGCTGACTATTCGCAAAATTATATGTGGGAGATGGCCCCAAGGAGTCTTCGTGATTCGTGACCACAAGCCGTGGCCGCGCTGTGGATGTCGACGCCCGTGGACTTTCACCGATCGCGCCCCCACTGGCCGGTGCCATCCTGGGCCCGGGGTCGGCACAAACACCCTGGCCTGGACAGAAGGTACATACACCGATCCTGGGCCCAACAGGGACGGGGGGAGACGGGAGGATGGGGAGGTGCTCCTCCTCCTCCTCCTCCTCCCTCCCTCCCTCTCCTGCCTAAGGCAGTGGCGGTGGACGGGGGGGGGCCCTGGCCAGGGCCACAGCTGGCGGTTCCCGACCAAAAGACAGGGGAGGGCGAGGCAGGCGGGCGCGGGAGGCGAGGGCAAGGTCGGAGAGGGAGGGGGCGGGGGAGCGGGGGGGGAACCATGCTGTGGCCGCGAAAGAGGGGCGGAATTGAGGAGGCAGAGGGCCTTTCTCAGAAGGCAGCCTGTGCTTCTCAGAAGCCCTCGTGCCTTCTACCAAGTCTTCGGCTAGGAAGGCCGGGGGGCTTCCGAGCCTTCTGAGAAGGCACGCCCTTCTCACTTCCCTCCAGCCTCGCCGCCGATCTTGGAATGGAGGTCTTTGGGTCATAACTTGGGCCTCCTGCAACGGGTCGGGACGATCCGGGCACCCCTTTAGCGCCGCGACACGCTGAGCAAAAGTTTTTGACCGTCCTCCTCCTCCTTCTCCTCCTCTCCCCCCCCGGGCTCGCCGCCGACGGATGGGGCAGGTGAGCGGGGGAAGGACCGATGCCGATGGGGAGGATTCGTCCCATGGGGGCTCCCAAGGAATGACAAACTTGTCAGCCCGCGGGCGCCAAGTGGTCCAAGACGGGCAGGCGCTGGTCAGCAAGCGGTGGGGTGCACCGGAGGCGAACGGAGTCACGAGAGGGAAGAGTAAAAGAGAGCAAGAAGAGAGACTGACAAACACAGTAGTGGCTCGACCACAAGAAACCTTCCACACGAAACCCCACCCTGAGACCCCAGGACATCCACTCATGCTTTGTTGTGGGAGCGGCACGCTTTCCACTACAAAAGCATCGAAACCCAAGAAACCCAGGGCACCCTGGAGGCAAGCAGGGTGCTTCTTGGCATGGGTGTCCACTGCATGCCCCCTCAAAACTAGAGAGAGAGAGAGGGAGAGAGAGCGAGAGAGAGAGAGCAGCATCCCCCATCCTCGCCGCTCCATGGCACGGGGCAGGGGGGGGGGGACGGGGAGCGGAGGCGGGCCACCCCCGAGAACGAGGGGGCGAGCTCCGCGGCACTCCGAGGGCAGCCCGAGCCCTGGGAGAGACAGCCAGCGGCGGCCCCCAGGTGCTAGAACTCGGCGGCGAGCGAGGGGGGGGGAATGAGAAGGGGAAGGCTTTCTCAGACGGCGGCGGGACTTCTCAGAATCCCTCGCGCCTTCCGAAAAAGTTGTTGATGTCTTCGGGGGCGGCTTAGAAAGCTTCTCAGAAGGCCGGGGGACTCCCGAACCTTCTGAGAAGGTTTTCTCCTTCTCACTTCCCCCCCTCGCTGGCCGCCGATAAAACGCGCGTCGTTGAGATGGAGCATCACCAGTTGTTTGCGACTGCGATCAAAACTGATAGCAAGGATGCGCGATAAGGATGCAAGAGCCTTGGACGCCCATGCCGAGGCATTTCGAGCGGAGCTGGCCATCGGAAGGGGGTGAGGATGGACCGAAGATAGCCGAAGAGGTATGGATGCAAGGGTACCCTTGTGAAGTCGCTCATCCGTATCATCATCAGTGTTGGCTGTATCCGTGGCCATCACATACCAATACAATGAGCAAGCAGCGTCGCTGATATGCTGGTCTGGGACATCACGTGCTCTACCCTTACATGCATATACACGAGCCTGAATTGGCGCTTCGCGCCGTGCACCTTGATCGCTTGAATTTAGCACGGAGACGGTGTGCATACGTATGTACCGCATTTCTGTATCACATATATGTAGGTAGATGCGCGTTCATGAGTGCGCGGGGGAAGGAGTGACACAGATGTAACATTATATCTTCGAGATATGAATGGACACACGACGTGGATAACCACACAAATCACGATTTCACGCGCGTTCCTGCCCCTCGTGGTCGCAAGTGCGTGCACGGAGGCTGGTACCGACCTCACAGATGGGGTCCGAGTAAGTGGGGTCGGAGGATCGCGCCACATCGCGAATGCATCGCCGATGCATCGGCGACGCTTCGGCGACGTATCGGCGACGTCGGCGATGCGTCGGCGTGGAGAAACTCTGGCTCCCCGTCGCACCGCATCGTCGATTCGGAGCGATCCTGCGACCCCGTCTGCTCGGACCCCGCTGGGGATGCCCAGACAAGCCTGCCCTATTGCGACGCCGAGCGCGGCTTCGTGCGCCCAGCGGGTCGTGGCCGGTGCGGCTGCTGTCGCAGGTGGCCGGCCTGGGCGACCGAGGGCAAGACGAAGCCAGGGCTGGGACAGAGACGGATAAGGACAACACTGAGGTCGGGCATGTCCTCGTACAGGCGGATTCTGGAAGAAAAAGGAAGACACATAAAACATGGGCCAAACATGACCCAGACATACTCAGAAGAGCACGGCAAGCCGTCCCCAGACTACTTGCTGACCGCCTTTGAATCTTTCTCCTGCAGAGGGACATGCCCGACGTAAGACACATCGGGGATCTCTGAGCGCTGGCGGTTCTGGAGGATGCGCAGGGTGCCGCGGCCGTTCCAGAGCACTCCAGAACGCTCCGAGAGCGTTCCCGAGCGCCCGTGGAACGACTCGTCCTGGCGGTGGGCCCGCCTGGGAGGAGGACGAGGAGGTGGGGCACGTCCTGCCGTTCCCACCCGCAGGGCACCAGGGCGGAGGCCCCGGAGCACTCCCCAGAGAGGGGCCACGCGGGGCCCGACGGAGGCCCGAGGCCCCCCAGGAGGGGCCCCTGGAAGACCCCAGCGTAGGCAGCCCCGAGGAGAGCCCAGAGGCTCCCGGAGGTGCCCGAGGGCGAGGACCGAGGCCTCCAACGACTCGACAAGCATCAGGGTCGGATCTCCCCGTTTCTTGCGGCCTGGGGGGGCCTCGG